AGGGGTTTGTGTGTGTGCGTGCGTGCATTGAGGTTGTATTGGTAACTTTGCCAAGTTTATTGATTGGTTTTGACATTTCTTTGGTGTGTGAATCTTTGTGAATGTGTGTGTGTGCAAGATCCTGCTTTCTTTGAACTGTTCTTTGCCCGATTTCTCTAGCTAGCCCTTCTAGTGGTTTGATAAACAGCGTAACAAAAGTGGACATTCTTGTCTCGTTCCTAAGCTAACGGGAAAGGCCATCCATCTCCTGCTGCTGACTCTGAGGTCCACTGCATTCTTTCAGTTGATGGCTTTTATTATTCTGAGGTAGTCTCACTCTTTTTCTAGGTTACTGAGTGACTTTTTTTTTTAAAATTAATTACAGTTTATTCACTTTGTATTCCAGCTATAGCCCCCTCCCTCATCCTCTCGAACCCCCACCCTCCCCCTCTCCTCTCCTCCCATACCCCTCCCCCAGTCCACTGATAGGGGAGGTCCTGCTCCCCTTCCATCTGACCCTAAAAGTTCAAATTACATTTATTTATGTGTGCGCAAGTGTGTGTGCCCTAGAGCATGCGTGAGGTTCAAAGATGGCTTGCAACAGTCTGTTCTTGTCTTCCATCCTGGGAGTTCTGGGGATTGAACTCAGGATGTCTGGCTTGGAGGCTGATGCTCTTGTCCATCGAGTCATCTCCTTGGCCCCACTGAGTGTTTTTAAAATTATGAAAGGGGTTTTGAAATTTGAGATAACCATGTGTTTCTCTCTTTATCTGTTAAAGAAAGATTGCACTGATTTTTTTTTTTAATATGCTGGACAATCCGTGCATCGTAAGGTAAATTCTCAGTTTTTTAATGCTTAGTAATGCTTTTCAAAATTTTTAATTGTTCAGTTGATCTCTGTTTGATATTTGACAGATGACTGTTGTGTGAATATTAATCGGGAATATTATTCTGTGGGTTTCCTGTCTTACTTTGCTGCTAAGAGTGATGGCTGATTTTATAAACTGAGTTTGGAAGTGGTTTTTTTTGTTTGTTTGTTTGTTTTTTTTTCCCCCTCTTCTACTCTCTCCCCTAATGGCTAGAACAATGAACATTATTTAAGCTTTTTCTTGGGAATTGCTGTTAATTTTTCTTTAAGAATTTGCCTGTGAACATGTCTGGTCTCTGGACTTTCTTTGATGGGGAGTTTTTGGTTACTGCTTTAGTGTCTTTTTTAGTTAGACTCATGCTCAGATTTTCAAATTCTTTATGACCAAGTATTGATAAGTTGTATGCTTTTAGGAATTTTCTCTACAGATATGCTTATATCTGCATATTGTTTATCTACATTATTCAGTTTCTTTGTATGCATGGAGGCCAGAGCTCAGGAGTTGATGGTAGGTGTCTTCCTCAGTTGGTCTCATTTTTTTTCTTTTTTTTTTTTTGAGACAGGGTGACTAAACTTGGAGCTTGCTGACATGCATGACCACACTCACCTTTTTTTTTTTTTTTTTTTTTTCCTGAGGATCAAACTTACATTCTTGCTCTTGGGTGCAAACATTCTACTGACTGGTCCCAGTTTCTTGGTAGATCATATATATAAAACTCATTTTAAAAGCTATGTAACATTTCAGATTCTGACCATAGAGCAGCATTTATTTACTTCTTTTTATTAGTATTTTTTAAATTTTTATTTTCAGAACTTAAATGCAATCTCCCTTCCCTTTCTATTCCTCAGTTCTTCCTATGTTGCCCATCACTCCTCACTCGCTCTCAGATCAGTGTCTTCTTTTCCTTTAACTATTATCATTACATGTATGTGGACATGAATCTATAAACACAATCCGCAGAGTCTGTTTAGTGTTGCTTGCATGTGTCTGATTTCAGAACTGACCACGTGCTATTGGATTACAAATTAAGAGGCTCATCCCTGAGGAAAACGAACTGTCCTGCTCTCAGCATTCCTTAGTTGCCTGTAGTTCTTTGTCTAGGGGTGAGGCCCATGGGAGTTCTCCCTTCCATGTTAGCTTGTCTATTGGTCTTGTCCTTGTTCCGGTCTTGTTTAGACAGCCATACTGTTGAAGTATTATGATTGATGTTCCTTGTCATAGCTTGAAGGCATAATCTCACGGCATATTTCCTGGTCCTCTGGCTCTTACTGTCTTTCCACACCCTCTTCCTCAATGTTTACTGAGCCTTACATGCAGGAGTTGTGTTATAGATGTACTGGGACTGCATTAGTTTTCTGTAATGATCTCCATCTGTTGTATAAAGAAGCTTCTTTGATGAGGGACCAGAGCTCTACTTATCTGTAGGTATAAGGATAGATATTTGGAATGTAATTAAGAATTATGATGGCTTAGTAACGTGGCAGTGACGGGTTCTTTTCTAAGATTCATGACCTCACTAAGGATAAAAAAAAAAAAAAAACAACCAAAAAACAATAGAAGAATGACTAAAAATATATGTTTGGCTGTGGCTGTAGTTCAGTTGATAGAACGCTTGCTAGCATGGATGAAGCCCTGGGTCCGACCCCCGGGGTTCTATAAACCAGACGGGGTGGCATATTCCTATAATAGCATTTGAGAGTAGAGGTAGGAGAAACAGAAGTTCAAGGTTACATATTCATCTTGGCTACAACGTAAATTTGAGGCTAGCCAGGGATATGTGAGACCCTGCTTTCAAACAAACAGAACCCCAAACCCCAAATGATAACGGCGAAAGGCTGATCTCACACTGTATCTTAATCATGGGATTGTATCTCATTTTCTTCTACACGTGTGGGCTTTGTAAGTGGTGAGCCTGAAAGTGGTGTGTAGGGATAGACAGTGCCACGGGATGTGTCTCCACCTCTGCCCTCTCCTTCTAACGTACCTCTGGATTGGAGCAAGTTGCTGGACAGTCTGACGGGGGAAGTGAGCTTTTGGCTTGTGTTTTGCTCTTTATTCACACCTTCTCATTTTATGCCTTTTGTTACTCTCTGAATGTATAAGTTATAATCTGTCCCCAAACAATTCTCATTTGATTCCTTACACTTACTTATTTTGTGTGGGTAGGTCTGTGTGCCGCAGGGCTCGTTTGTGTGTGGCAGTGACAGGGTAGCTTGAGGGACTCAGTTCTTGTCCTTCCACTAGTATAAGTCTTAAGAATAGAACTCTGGCTGTCAGTCTTTTCACAAGCACTTTTACCTACTAAGATATGTTGATGACCCAGTAACATTATATCTGTCTTTCTATCAGTCTGTCTATCTATCTACCATCTATCTATCTACTCATTTATCTATCTTCTATTATCTTCTATCTACCAATCATCTATATATCTTCATCATCATTATCTATCTATCTATCTATCTATCTATCTATCTATCTATCTATCTATCTAATCTATCTGTCTACCTACCTATAATCTTCTATGTCCTTCAGTTCCAAGCCCAAGGTCCCCTCATATTAGTTTGAAAAAGCTGCATAGATTTATAAATTATAAGCATTTCCTGATATTCATGCTCAACTATATAAAAACATATTTGTATGTGTATTACATAAAAGCACATTTATATATAATAAATATTTATTTGTTTTTCTATTAAGCAAACATCTGAAACCAAAGAACATACGTTAATTGTAAATACTGAGCAAAATCTTCATTATCTCCACTTTCTGTTTAGCACCTTGAAAAAAAAATAGTTTTAAAATCTCCTTCTGCTTGTGAATGTTTTCTTGGGAGAGGTTGGCCATCCTGATGCCCATCTTGTTCTGTCCTGACAGACTCTAAGTAAATGGAAATGAGTAATTTATTAACACATGGTACCTCTGTTTTGAGATCACCTGAAACAGCATCTTTAGCTAGTGGATGGGAAGAGAAGTCATATTTATGTTCTTCCCTCAGCGATTCTGGCTTCTATGCATCTAGTTGGTAAAAGCATTGGGTGAGATTAGGAGCCTCTGCCTGTCCTAGTTAGTGATAGCTATCAACAGGACACAGCCTACATAGCCTGAAAGGGATTTTCAACCTTTCAAGGGCATATCCTTCTCAGGTTTGCATGTAAGGTTGTCTTGACTGAAGATGGCCAAGTTCTCATTGTGGGTAATACCATCCCTAGGCCATGGTCCTGGCCTTATAAGAAAGCTAGCTAAAAACAAAATAAAACCACAACAACAGCAAAAACAGAAAAGAAAGAACGCCAGCTAAAAATAAGCCTGTGAGTGAGTTAGAGAGCAAGCTACTATGCAACATTCCTCCATGGTTTCTGATTCCGGCTTCCTTCCTTGATTTCCCTCAGTGACAGAAGTATAAGCCAAACAACCCCTCTCCCCTGCCATGTTGCTTGGTCAGAACGTTTAATAAAAGCAACAAAATGAAATAAAGACTATGTAAATGCTGCAGCTTTTAAATGGGTTTAACCACCGTTGGAGGGCATCCCATGTCCTAACAAGGTTTAAGAAGAAGAATACGAGAAATAGAAGCTGACAAGACAGCTCAGTGGGTAAAGGCCCTTGATGAAGCCTCAGAACCACAAGGTGGGAGGAGAGACTGCCTCTGATCTCTATTCACACGCCATTGACTTGTGCTTGCCCCCCTCCCCACCCCAAATAAATGAATGTATAGACTCAAACTCAGACATCTTCTATGTGGGTCGCCACGAAGCATCTGTTATTTTCACACCAAATGAAAAAAGAAGCAATTTTTGATATGCCAACAGATATAATTTATTATTTTTGATACATCGCCCTCTTTTTTTTTTTTTTTAAAGAGCAATTTACAGAACAGTGGAAGAAGAATGGAAAATATCTTAGCGTAGCATATTCATTCATGGCCTTGACAGCACTGAGCCTTGGAAAATAGGGGCAATCCCAAGGTAAATGGATTTTTTCTCATTTTGGGATCAAGTTTGTACTTTATGATTTCTACAGGGGATATCAAAGCCTTCCAGCATTAGATGATAAATGTTCTGGGACCCCAACTATTTGGTGAGCCCCCAAACACAAGCCAAACCAAAGTTCAAGAAAGTGGTAGTGGTCCAGTTGTTGAAAGCAACCTGATTCTCAACAGCTGGGCTCAGGGCAGCTGGGCTGGCAGCAGTGGCAGCAGCAGGCTGGGCGGCAGCAGGATTGCCCACAGTAGGATGGGCGGCAGCAGGAGGCCTGGGCATGGTGCAGCTGGCAGCAGGTTGGGGGTGTGCTGCTCACCACACAGCAGGGGGGCAGGCAGGTGCCCTCCACGCGGCAGTCTGGGCGGCACCATCTGGTGCGGCAGCTCACGGCTCCGCTGCCACCCTCCTGGCCAC